ACTTCATGCAGCAAGTGCAACCGAACGTTAACATGCCCCACCCCACCCCACCCCCCACCCCATTCCCACATGTAGCATCCACATCCCCCTCAAGCAAACATGCAAAAACGACAGCGTAGAAAACGAAAAATCAATAAAAATGCAAGAAAACACCACGGCCGTCTATCAGCCGTGGGCCAACTACATGGTCCAACAAAACCGCGTCATACGCAACCGCATGAGATAGTGCAAGAAGCTGAGTTGACCATGGGGGTATCAACTGCATCGCGAAACAGCTGTTCACAGTCCGGACATATGAACCACCTCTGAACCCCGGGCTTACTTGCGCATGCTTGCTACCATCTGCTCCACCACCCCAGCATGCGCAAGCTCCACACGTGCGCTTAGCTCCACGGAAGAGCCCGGCCTTGAGATCTTCTGAGTCCTCCAGGCCAAAGCTCCGCAGCACTTGCATCCTCGGCCCAGGAACGGCATGAACTCCTCTCCCATGAGCCCCCCCCGGTTCGCGTGAAGAGCGGCGGAAGGCGCTCTTGGGTGAGAACATGTTTTTTGGCAAAATGTGTTGGTATTCTACAGATTCAGTCGAGAGTGAATACATGATTCAATGATGCTCCCCAATATGAATGTCACACTATGTCACATTCACCAGAGGAAGCTTTCCATCCAACTTTGGGCTACCCTTAAACCCCTCCCAAGAGTGAACATGAGTGAAGAAGACTAAAGAATCGTGAAGATAATGTTTGTTCACACCGGCTTTTTCGCGTTTTGTGTTCCAGGATCTGTTGATATCAACCATCCGAATTGATTACCGTAATTTTCCAGCTGAGCCACAGAACCTCGAGCTTCCCCTCAGGCACCACCGCCTTTGAGGAGTTGGGTGCTTCTCTTCGGCACAAGGCCGTGAGGAGCAGCAGGAGGAAGAAGGCGCCCAGGGCCAAAACCACCAAGAGAAAGTCCTTAGAAAAGCATAGGTTTCATGGAACGTGGAAGTTCGACATGGAACGTGGAAGTCCAACATGGAACTTGGAAGTGCTTCTACTGTTCGCTGCATTCCCTGAAATCATCATGGTTATGTGGATGGCATGGCCCCTTGCATGACCATGTTCCGAATACCAAACAGGTGGTGTCATCCACTTCCATGATAACTTCAGGGAATGTCATGGAAAGTGATGGGAGTTGGAGCAAACTCGATCAAATTCGCCCACAAGGTTCAATGCAAAGTTGATCAAAGTTGTACTGTAATTGATTATATATTATATATTATAAAGGACCTGTTGAATCCCCACCACCAGAGGTATACCATGGGGTATACCCACAGTCTCCAGGACATCTAGGTGAGCACTTTCAATATCCAAACCCAGCTGGGACCTGAAAAGCTGCCTATTGGCACCCTCCTGCACCCCTGAGATCACTTGCCAAATGCCTGGTGCTCAGTAGAGAATGAGAGTATACCTGAGAGCATCCATTCCGGGAGACTCTTGGGGGCTTCCCTCATCCCCGTCCCTTCAGTCGAGCCCTTCGGCCCAACCCCTTGCCATCCAAAGCTCCGAGATCCCCGTGCTGCACTCCGCGGCCTGCGCTGCTCCGCTGCCCGGTCTCGTCGTGCTCGTGGAGGAGACGGTGGAGGTCGTGCTGGAGCTAGTGAGGCGTTGGGAAGTGGTGGACCTGCCGAGTGGAGCAGGTCTTGATCACTTCTTGGAAAACTTCTGCACTAATATGAATTGGCAAGTGATGAACTTCATCTCCGTGTCTGTGCCTGGAATTTGTGGAGCTGCTACTTGTGGAGCTTGAAGACGCCTTGGTGGGCAGGCCTTAACTCGAACTACAAAACAGCAATACATGTGCATTGTCGGTTGCTCGGCGCAAAATGTTCAGATGTCTAGTTTCCCTAGATTGAATCTGCACGGAAACCGTGGTGATCTCCCAAAACCTGCACATGAAGGCGGGACGCGTACGTCCCATCAAGTGCCACGACTCGCCAGTGCGTGGCGGGCTCTTGAGCTGGGCGCTCTCTCTCCCCCCCCCTCTCTCTCTCTCTCTCTCTCTCTCTCTCTTGTGGAACATGTCTTGTCTGGTGGACTTGACCACGTGCATTCCCAGAACCTGATGATCACCGCTGCCCCGCTGGAGAGGCGAAAGCTCCGAAAAAACGTCGGTTGCGATCATCGAAGAATCATCCACCAGGACCTTCAGTTCGTGACCTTTGGAGATCCCAGTTTGAGGTCACTTAGTCCATAAAGAGGCCACTTACAGACTCCAAAGAGGTCACGAACTGAAGGTCCTGGTACGTGTTCTGAACATGACCCAAACACTCCATGTCTACCATATATGTATGCCGATCAGTTGGGGGGGTGCCAAAGGGTCAATTGATCGGCAAATATTCCAGTCCCATGGAGTGTCTGGGTTATATATTGATATCTGTTTGGGGTGAAAAAAACGCTCTTTCCATGGGCCAACTTCCATGGTGTTCTCAACTCGTGTGTGTCTGTGTATCTTATTCCTTGAGGGGCCCTGTAACAGTGGATGATGATGGTTGGTAAAGGCCTTCTTCTAAAATAGTGATAATTGTTGACCAAAGGTTATTCACAGGCAATAGGACATTCCCAATACCCTAGGGATCCAAGTACCTTCTCAGAAGGTGTTTGGGGTGGGTTTGGAAGGTCCACGTGCCTTCTGAGAAGGTACTTGGATCCCTAGGGATATATATAGATCCACAAACGGAACCAGCTATGTTCACACCCTGTCTGATACAGGGGCGGCGCGTTCCGGTTCCGCGGAACGCTTTGAAGCCGAGACACGGTGGAGCTGGAGGAGCTGCTGGACGTGCTGGACGTGGACGTCGTACCTTCTAGCAGGAGCTGCTGGACATCTCCGAACTGCCCTTCTAGGCCCAAAGGAGTCGCTCCGTGGAGTCCATGGCAATATCGTTTCACTTAGGTTTGCTTAATGTCCTTGCGGGCGCCTTCACTTTCCACAAGTCGTGTGAGTCGCTGCAAGATCGTTTCATGAAAGTAATGGGCTCTACTGCAGAGTGGTCCAAGTCAGTTACAGCGTTCATAGCCGGACTCAAATGTATCCATCCAGTAGCCATGTGAGGAAGTGAAATGCAAACAACTGCAATTTGGTACCCTTGCTACCCTTGCAGGGTGGTGCTTCTCTCGCACCAAAAAGGGCCACCTGATGCTGCAAATAAGAAGGGCTGGTGATACATGCGCACGTGAAAACATCCTCCAAGCGCCTCCCCGCAACCGAGTAGCTGCTGCTGGAGCTGCTGCTACTGGTGTCAGTGAAGGAGGTGGAAGAGCTGGTGTAGCTGGAGGTGGATGAGCTCGTGACGACAGTGCCTGGTTGCGTTGGACCAGGCTCCCCCGGTCGCTCCAAAACATGGTATCCATGGTCGAGGGAAACAGTTGGTGGCACTGGATTTGGTCCCTCTAATGGTAGGGCATGGTGACTCAACAAATAGTGCACTGTGAACAGGGATGTGTTTGGGTGAACATCGTGGGGCCGGTGGTGGACGACTGATTTTCTGAGCTCTGACAGGCGTTGCAGATCGTGCAGGGACTTCCCGAGTTTCCCTCAAACATGTTCCAGCCAGGAGTTCGCAAAGAAAGGGGTGGTGTTTGGTCCCATCCAGTGAGTGGAGTAGCTGCGCACCCCGACTAGCTCCATGGATAGCACCCCGTCTTGTGACTGCTGGAGGTTAACTTTTTTTTCCGGAAGTTAACTGACTGGGTTACAATTGATATCAACTGATATTCTGACAGGCTCTGACTGGGTGGACTACTAGTAGTTAACCTTATTCATGTTTACCAGTAGTCTGGGGAAACCAATCCCCCCAAAAAAAGGCTTTGCAGGTCCACTGACTGACTGACTGGGACCGAATCGACCCATCGCTGAAAGCGAAGCCCAGTCTCTACTGGTCGTGGAGGCCGGAGGCCCTGCCAGTAGGGTTTCAGCATCCAAGCATGGCCTGAGTCACATGGCCAACCCTGTCAGGAGTTGCATGAGTTGTGAACCGGCCTATATCCTGCCTATACCCAGACACTCCATGGGACTGCCGTGTATGGTTACATTGGGGATCATTGGGGTGGTTTGGGGGGTCAATGGGGCGGCAGTCCTATGGCAGTCCCAGACGGGTCGTGTCTGGGATATATCATCAGCACTATAATCCGCACTATAATCAGCATATCATATCATAACACATACCAGGACCCTCCAAGGGGTGCCCAATGGAAGCCTATAGGTAGTGTGGGGTAGTCCAGCCAGGACACCCTTTGGAGGGTCCAGGTATATAACAACCCTCAACTAACAGCCTGGCCAGGAGGGTGCTGGTATATGATCGCATCACTTTACCAAAAGAAGAAAGTGACTTACCAAGTCTTTGGATGTCTCGACGTCTCACACGGACCGGGACGGCCATCGGATCGTCGGCCCCGGGCCCCACCAGATGAAGCCATATAAAGCCCCTACCCTTCGTCCCTCCCGAAACCACCAAGAAACACAAGCTAGGAGTCACAAGACTTTGGGTGCCTATCTTGAAGGATTGATAGGGGTGTCATGGGGTGTCCATCTTCTCCAGACACTGGATGGGACCCAAAAAATACCCCATCCTGTCTTGTGACTCCTGCGCCACACGCTTCACCCATTCGTCTCTCCCTCACCCCTAGCCGCGTCCAAGCCACGCCGTCCGGAGGTAGCGGACCCGCAGGGTGGCGCCCACCAAGCCGCCGCCGCTGGCGTCGTAGGAGGCCAGGAAGAGGCGAAGGAACACGAGGTCGTCGCTGGGAAAGGCCAGTTGGCCATAGGACCAATCCTCAGCTGACCCAGCTTGGAAGCTATCTCAGATGCTCCGTTCACAGCTCGACTGGTCCCTCAAAAGCCCTAAGGAGGGATTGGTTCAGGTCCGGACCCCTCCAGAGGATTCGGGTCCGGCTACTTAGAAGGGTTCAGGGTCGCGTCTGGGCAGTGCAGACCATTGTGCAGGGCTGATCTCAACAGCTGCAGCTGTAGCCCTCTCTCTCTCTCTCTTCATCGCCCTTAGGAGTGTGCCCAGCCAGAAGCTGAAACCACTATATAGTCACTAAGATCACCACAGCTGCGTTTGTTTGTCCTCAACTTAATGGGTGTGTATGTTAATGGGGGACACACGGGGGACACCTAACCAGTAGTGGGTTTTGATCCGTTGTCCTTCTTCCACGGGGTCTTTGGAAGGTCTCCCGCTCCCTATATTTCAATACACCCAATCCCTACGAAGGCTTGAGACATCTTGAGAAGCAAAATGCTGTGCTGGAAAAGTAGGCTAAATATGATAAAGGCCACATGGAGGAAAGAGTCTGAGTAGGTAGACCTCAAACAGAAACCACACCGAAAGGTCCATCGATGGCAAATAGCTCTACGGTCCAAAAAACATCTCCAAACCAACTCGAAGACCTCGAATTCCCCCCTCCATGCCCAGATCTGCCGGTCTTCAGGTCTTCACACCTGAGTCCTGACCACCCACCGTCTTAATCCCATCTTCTCCCACCTCCGTTTCGGGTTGATGGTTTCACCTCACTTGACAAACATGAGTCAGTGGTGTCAATAGGTTTCCATCATCCCAGTCGAAGGTTGAACATGGTTGAGCATACCATAACATCTGACAGGTTTTCCACTCCACGTTTTCCCTATCTCATCCCGTCCCTTCCTCGACCTCGCCCCAGCTGCCAGCCGCAGGTCGCCCCGCTGCAGCGAGGAGTTCAGCAGCTGCGAGGTGTTGAAGGCACCAACGAAGATCTGGTCACGAAGCGCGATGCTCGGCGCGATGCGAACGACGCGGCGTTCTGCTTGGTTCGGTGGATTGCTGGCCCACCTCTATGCACTTCGCACCATGGAAGGGGTGGAATCCCACAAAAAGCCCTGGGTTTTTGCAAACTAAAATGACTTTTCAAATCCAGGTCAACCAACTAAGATAGTCTCAGAAAGCCCAGGCTGGTGCTTTCCAAAGCTTCGGTCCTTTGGGGGACCGTAAGGTAAGGTGAAAACCAAGGCGGCAGTTGGTGAAGTTGGACCGAAGGCGACCTAACCAGATGTCTATTTTCCACACGGTGGCCCCATCTTACTCCAAATCCTTTCTCAAGAGGCAGTAGCCCTGTGAATGAAGTAGGGAGTGGTGTGACATGCTTTAAGTTAACTCTGTCAATGAATGCGGCATGCATTTGTAACATGTTGTAACTAAAGTTGAACACAGTGTCAGTGGTGAAAAAGGCAGTTCATGGGTGTTCATCACCCGCTCGATCGCCGGGTGGGACTTCCAAGGCCCAAAAGCTCGTGCGGCACATGGATGAAGCTTAAGCCGACTCAAGACCAAGCATCCATGCCTCCGTGGATGGACCATGAGGGAACATGGCCCCTTCAATTCCTTGCATGAGCTGTCGCTCCCTCCGAAGTTAGGAGTCCTAACTGACTATAGAACACGTCCACCAAAGTCCAAAGCAAATCCAAAGTTGGGCTCCATGATCTCCATGATCTCCCACGCTTGGCCGAAGCCAAAAAAAAACGCATCGCACCTCGAAGGCATCTGCGCTGCCTTGGGTGTTGTACTCCCAAATGATGCAATTGCCTGCAGGATGACCGCGGACGCTCGACTGGGCCAACACATGCCAAAACAACTGCCGGAATCGGACTTAGGACCTGAACCACTTATAGATCCCAGGACCTCAGGACCCAACAAATGACCTTATGAGTGCTCAGACTCTGACAAAGCGGTGTCCCAAAATCCCCCATGACTCCGTTCCAGTTTGGAGACCACGAGCTAGCGCCCAGGTTGCGCGCCCAGGTCGCCCAGCTCTCCTGCCAGGACCTCCAAGCTGTTGGTCTCCACCATGGGCCCCACACAGCTCCGATAGTTCCTGGCACCACGGTGGAGCGAGCGCGCGCACGGTCCGGTGCCCCGTACCGGGGCGGACAGGTAAAAGAGAGCGAGCCATGGCTAGCCGTGCACATGGATGTACATGGTATATATTCACTGATATCTGATATCTATGACATCTTGCAGGGAATATCCAACATATGCCAACCAAAAAGAGGTTCCACCACTTAATCTCTTCACATCGTCACTGACCGCGCTGTTGTAGTTGTTTCAACCGCAGGTTTGCCTACATACCCCAAACATTCCATACCATATTTGCCTACATTGCCATGGTTTTTTCGGGGTGAATGTAAACATCCTTTCCAGTCCCAGACAGGTCGGGTCTCTTTCCTTTCACCGAGGCGCGTGCACCAAGGGCAGGTGCCCTCGCCGCAGCCGATGAAGGACATCCAGCTAATGTGGCCATCCAACTGCATCTCGACACCCCCGGGCACCTCGTCGGCCGTGCACGCACCGCCGAGGTCCCCAGGCCATCTATCCAAATCCCTCACACTGTATGTACCAACAGAGGTGAAGTGACCGTAAATAGGACCCGTCATCAGGGGTACCGAACTGGGATAGTCTCTATTGGGTCATTCAACCTCTGTTGGTATGGCATATTTACATACATTGACTCCAAACCAACCACCTGCGGTAAATATGGCAGTCCCATTAGTCGTGTCTGGGTATGGGACTGGAATAGTTACGTACATGTACGACCCCAATGTAGGTACTGTAACTATGTTCGAGTATCATGGATGGTCTGGGATCTGCTGGTCATGGTTCATATCCGTACTTCTAGACTGCTTGGTGAGATGTATCAAACAACGTCCGTCTGGTCGGAGTCATTTTCCTACCCCATGGACTCTAAGGTCGACTCTACGACTTTGGGGTGGGACTTCTGTGCTGTGAGGTTGGCCTCGGCCTCCAAGCACTGCACTCCAGGGTAGTAATTTTTAATAGTACAACTCAACCAATTGCTTTGGGCTTGGCAAACCCAATCCTACACCTCAACGTCTCTGCGCATCTATCTCCCCACCACCCCCTCCCACCTCTTCCCCTCACCTCTTCCCACCACACCAGTCCGTCCCCACGCCGGTCCCCTCTTCTCTGTCCGGTCTCTCAAAAGGTCCGGTCGAACCTCCTGGACCTTCGAGTCATAGAGCTGCCAACACTCGTAGTCCGTCAAGGCCGAGCAGTCCTCCGACCTGACCGCGTGCGCGGCGAACTTCGCGCGTTTTGCGCGGCGCGCGAAGCGTTTTGGGCGGCTGCGAAGGTGGGCAGCGGTCGGATAGCACGGCCCCCCGTGGGGAAGACTGCGGTGAAGCGGTCGGCCCTAATGATTTGAGGGTGTGAGGTGATGGTGGGTGATGCCTATAGTCTTTGAGTCTTGGCTTGCTTGCATTGGTTGGCCATACTTCAAATCTCAAATCATCCTTGCAAAAGAAATTGCAAAAGCAAGTCCATTCGACATGAAAAGATGGAACAGCTTTTAGGGAGATCTGAAGAACATTTGGGAAAGGCCTGGGGCCCTGGCAGTTGGAGGATCAGTTGAACAACTGAAGATGAGCGGTTGAACTTCGGATCGTTCTGCCAACCAAATGCCTATGCAGTCCTCGAGACCCTAACATGCCGCAATTGTTGGCTAGAGAAAGGAAACCTGAACTTCTTCCAAGTCCTCTTCAGAGCAGCTAGGGCTGCCTGGTGGGACAGGGTCCTTTGAACGCTCATTGTGTTCGACCTTGTCGGATTGTCTTGTCTCTCCTTGCGGATTCTCACCCTGCCCTAATACATGGCTTCTTTAGGAAGACTCGCGTTAGCACCTTGAGAGCAAGCCCGAGCTATTCAAACCCAAGCTATTCACCCTCTCTCACACCGCCAGGCTGCACAGAGCACGGCTTCTCATCGGACTGCACGATGTCCACACAAAGGTTCTTCACGTGGCCTAAGAACTGCAACCGATTTGGTTTGGCCAAGGGGCAGCTGATTTAGCTGAGAAAGGACAAACCAAATTGGCCCCGAAGAATCACGGTTTTAAGGACACCCTAGCTAGCCGCTAGCGGCTCGCGTGACCCTGAGGGCCTTAGGGTAAAGACCATATATTATGCTTGGAGTGTTTTCAAAAGGTCTGCGATGGTGGTACCTGGAATAAGCCTATACGTAACACAGCCATAGCAACTTTATTTCATGCGTTTTGTGTGTATGCCTTCTTGAAAACGTCCAAATTATGCTACATGATGCTAGCACTGGCTAGATCTCACCAGCCCGAAACTTTGTCCTACTCCTGCCCTGGTACGCCTTCCAGTCATCTGCCATCCAAGCCGCTTTTGTACGCAAGGTGGTTGCCAGTCGTCTGCCTTGAGAAAATGCATCAAGTGGTGCAAACACACCCGCAATTCGATGCAGTCAGTTGTAGCATCACCATAGAATTGTCAACCGAATGCAACGCGTCGTGTTTTCCCAGGGTGGCTGATGACCTCCATGTGCATGTACCAGCAGTTGTTCCATTTTTTTCACAGTCAAACAGAAAATCAGCTTGGTATGACTGGGATTCTTGCCGCCGAGATGCTGCACAGGGAACTGGAAGTTCGCGGCCATGACGCCCACTGCGCAGAGCCCGCTGATGAGCTGCCCCAGCCGTGACACGCAGTCGCATGGCGTTGGGGCGCGCAGTCGCATCGCGCCATGGCCCAGCGAAGGCCGAGGAAACTCGCAGAAGGGCGAGGAACTGTGGGAGACTGGGGCGTTCTAGTCACTGAAGATACTGAAGCAAAGGAACTATGAAAGTCCAAGGGCTTCAATGGAACACTGACATATCCACAAGTAATAATCGACAACATGTTCAAGACGAAGACAACTGGCAACTGGTGTTTGGAATGAGGGACTATATAGTCCCTTCCCTCCAATGTTGTTGATGATTACCATTAAGGTTTCTTACACTCCATCCGTTGATCACCAAGCCTTCAACTAAACATAATTAATTACATCGCAAGTGACGTGTGTCCAATGCAAAAACATCTGTTCATCTCCATCCGTTCTGTCATTGACTAGCGATGTCCCTGAACCTATCGACTTGCACAATGACGCCTCAGGCAAAAGAGAGCAAAAAAAAACAACATGAGATAATGGGGTGCCCATGCACATCAAAGTTCACCGCCCATTCCAAAAAAGAACTTCACTGATTTAGCGCATCTCTGATCTGTTGTATGCACCAATCCTGCCGATCAATGATCCAGGATATCCTCACTGTATCTTATCGTTACGCTGACGCACCGCTAGCCAAAAGGCCTCGAACAAAAAGGTAGGCCGCGAATAAAATGTCACTGAACAGCATAAACAAGCTTCATACAAAAGGGATCAAAAGGGTATGCCGATATCTCCTCGAAATTAGATACCACATGGTACCACCCCAACAATGCAACGTGCAGAAAGAGCCACACTACGAGAAACAATCTTTTGATCAAACGCACTGAGGGTCGATGTCTAAGGTGTTCAATGGTACCGTTTTTTCAAGTCCAGTGGTTTCGGTTGGTGCTTCTGCTGGAAGAACACTCCGGAAAAAATATATTGCGCCAAGATCTCCTTTTCGAAAGGCCTCTATGCGATTGGAGGGCGTCCTGCCTTTAGGAACAGAGCCAAATGGTGCCCCAACATCTTGCTGATTTGAATGATGTTCTTGGACGGTGCCAAAAAAAACACAACCCTGTCAATGGCAGCCCATGATGCACCACCCTGGAACAAAACAGCCTGTGGCTTATGCTCTGGCCTTAACTAACAGCTTCAAGGAAGATCGGGACCTGATTACCCGTGTGTGTGATTGAGTGAAAGGCATTCCAAAGGTCTGCTTTCAGGTTTCATGCTTATCTTGAACCTCTCCACTTATCCTTGAACTCTAGTGAGTCATTTTTGCTGTTGGACTTCTTTGGAACTTGGAACGAGGGCCGGTATCGGTATCGAATAACAAATTGACAACATGGACAAAATAAACCAGGACCTTCAATCCATGAGCGCCTTGAGATTCCAGCAAACAAGAGGTCACCTTCGACTATAAGAGACTATCATAAGGCTTCGAGGTGACTCCTGTTCGAGGTCATGGATCCGTACTGATCCACAGACCTTCTTAGAAGGTCGAAGCCTACATCAACTTGTTGGGCTTTTCAACCGCCAAACCGAAACCATCTGCTTCTTCCAGCACGCCCCGTAGCGCCTGTGCCTTGAAGGACATCGCTGCCTACAGTAGTAGCGGGTCAGCGGTGGCTTTGCGTGCCGGGACGACTTCCAAGAAGCACACGATGGGTGAGGAGGTTTTGGAGAGTGGCTTCTATGAGAGTCCCAGTCGTAGACAATAGAAGCCGGGGGCAGTCAGGAGATTGGGGCACTTGGAGTTTGTTCATCGAAGCTCTGGACGTCTCCCAGTCTGCGTGTGTTTTGGTTTCAATTAGGGAAGGCACAGGACGTCTCTCTCTCAGATGGTTTGTATATCTCGCATGGTGCTCTTCCATCAAGCGTAGGTCATCGGTCTGTAGGTCATCTTATATATATATAGCTTGATATGTTCGACGAAGGTCAAGAGATGTCAAGAGCATCCATGAACCAATGAAGACTTTGGGGTATGGAAGCCCTCCTCGTCTGGGAACTGCCTGGAGGGGTGGACTGAACAGTCCAAACTCCAAACCGTTCCACTCCCACTTGCAAAGCTTGTAGGATTGATGTCAGGTGTTACAAGGTGGCATACATAAACAAATGAAAGAAGTCATGCAGCAAATCAAGGCACTGTGGTAGGTTATACCAGGGCGTTGACCTCATTGACTCACGTGTCTGGACATATCTACCATCATCCATGCCTGGGAAACAAAAGTGATAAAGTTGCGGGTGTTTGCACAGCTGGTATCAGCTGCGCCTGTGAAGAATCGTGCTCATTGATTTGCCATGATTTTTACATGCAGCCTTACGGTGCAAAACGCCCCACACATGTGCAGCCTGGAAGGAAGTTGGGGGACAGCCACCACAAGGAGCTTTACAACACCGCAAGGGCCGGAGATTTCCTGGACAATCGGAGGTATAACTACCGAACTGTCCATCTGCTGAATTTGAGTGGGGGTCTCCCAATCCCAAGAAGGTGAGCTGCAGGTGATCAGGTGATGCACGAACTTCCTGGGCAGGCTTCCATGTCGCAGCATCTTTTCCATGTCTCAGGGCATGAACCATGCCATTCTCCACTCCATGCCATCCCTTGAGGATGGCTGTGAGACCGCAAAATGCCACAAAGGCAGTATGGGTCATCATGTCTGGTGCATGAAGCAATGGTGGCAACCGAGAGCCTCAAGACTGGCACCTGATCTGTAGAGATACATCACGCACATGTTTCAAGCAGTGGATCGGATGAATCACACGGAACAACCTGCAGAGTGTACGAGGTGGAGCCCTCAGAAAATTGAGTTGTGCAAAGTGCGTGTGATCAAGCCTGCCGTTCGGTTCAAAGTGGTTCAAAACAAGGCTGTGGGTCAAAGCCCAAGAGGGGAGCATCCCAAGGTTGGTTTACATGACCGAAGGCGGCTCGTAACGTACCAATCATGTGAACGGCCGGGCCTTTGGTTGTGAAACATCCCTCCGACCGGACCATTTCCTTGTATGTGCCTGGAAAAAGGGCGACCCCTCCCCAACCCCCCCCGGCGGGAAAACTATATAGGCTCAAACGCCTGGAGGAAGCCCCAACAATTCAAAACAAGTGGATGATGATTCATGATGCCGTGGATGATGGCCATTCCCCAAAATAATGTTGATGATCTATTACCGACCGTTGCTGCTAATCATGGGACATAACGACCGTCATACCTCTGCCTCGTTCAGGGTAGTTTCGCACGTCTCTTCCACCGCACCTCTGCCTCGCTTGCCAACGCTGAACCTCTGAGCCTTCCTCGCGACTCTGCCGCGGGCGCCCCAAAAAGCCACCAAAACAGGGTGGCAGCGTGTGAAGCTGGGTACCCCGAGCGTATTGCAAGAGTGGAGCACTTCAAAGTACTTGATAGTATTTGAACATCTTTGTGTGTATTGCAAGCCATGCATAACCTCTGCAAGTCGTGGCCCACCATTTTTGTTAATAGCCTGAATCCCGAACCACCCTTGTTTTACTAATGGTTTTACACTACAAAACCAGATCGTTCCCATTGATAAGCCATGGTCGACTTGACAAGCCCATGCATAACATTGCATAACCATGCAAGTTTCACAACTCATAGGATCCGAATCCTAGGGGGAAGCAGCCTGTGCATCCCCACCCAGTGCTTATAATCATGAAACTGCGAACCGCTGCTCCGCAACGAGTGGACTTGGACTTGGAATCTGCGTACCCGGATTCATCACGTCCCTACGCGGTCGATGACCAGCTGGGGTGGATCGATTCGTCTTCAACCAACACCGACGGATCGAAGAATACTCCAAGGAAGCATCGAAAACCGTCAGCTGCCCGGTGGCTCAAAACATGCTAAAAACTGGTGGAACCAGCCACATGTGCAGCCATGAAACCAGTATCTGCCAAACACCCAGCAGCACCGTGCGAAAGAAAATGCTACATTTGAGCTCTCAGGGGATGCTGGTGATGGTGTAGAAGATCTCACCCGGTGCCTGCTTGGACTGGGACGGGCGAGTTGGGAGCCGGCGAAGAGTCCAAAACCCGCTGACCCAACTGCGACACTTGATGGGAATCATCCTTGTCATACCTTTCCCTATAGGAATCCAAGTACCTTCTCCGAAGGCAATGTGTTCGAGGCTGTTTATGGAGGTGCCTGGGTCGGATCCAGCCGTACAGAACCTGAGAAGGTACTAGTACAACTGGTACAACTGGATCCCTATAGGGTTTCATCAGGTACAACTGACTGTCCCTTAGAAGGTACCAGTCAGCGGACTCATAAGGTCCAGTTGCTTCGCAAAGGTTGGAGTCTGCTGACTCGGCTCCGATGCGGCTCTGCAACTAGGACACGTGGCGATTTTACATAATGAATACCTGGACCTTCTTTCGGGGTGTTCAATGGAGCTCCCTTAGTGGTGGGCTGGGGTTTCCATTGGGCAGCCCTTGGAAGGTCCAGGTATGTTCTACGCCTTTGATTGTTCCATGCTCTCTTATACAAAAGGGTGGGCCAACAACATGAAACCCAGAAAGGGTGGCACCAAACGGGTGTGTGAGTGAAGAGCAAATAAGCAAAAACGTCGCCAAGTCCTGTAGCCAAAAGATCTTGACCAACATGTCTTGAACTGTGCTGATCGCGTTCTTCAGCATTCCCTCAACAATTGCTTTTCTCCCTCTGAATGCCAACTTTCAGTTTCTGTGCCTGGCGAGTGGGAGGAGGCCAGTGGGGGTGGAAGTGAAGATGGGAGTGTTGAACCATGTTGAAACTACCGTGCTTTCTTTCGGTCGGTGTCTGTAGAAATTTCCAAGTCTCCGATCCTCTCAGGCTCAATGCGCCCCGTGCGCCCGGTAAGCCGGCGATCCCCCAAAACAACATCTATATATATTAGAGTGCTTTCAAAGGTGAGAACTCGACCCTGGCACCCCAAGAGGTCTTGGACAAATTAATGGGGGTCCAGGTCCGGGGGGGACC